CACCTTTTTGTTTTTGGTTTTCACCATTAATTCCTGCCTTTTTCCCGAAAAGTGAAGAAGTCTAAAAGTTGACTTTTTCCGTCTCTAAACCACATGGTTTTCTTCTAGGTATATTTTCAGAATCTTTCAGAATAAATCTATCTATCTATCCTCAACAACCCTCTGACTTTCTTTCCAATGATATTCACAACCACAAATGTTTATCACCATAATTGAAAGGTCTCACTTGTCACCAACAACTTTCTTTCTCCTTGGAGCATGGAAGTTTATTGCCAAGAGGAAAGTATAAAATGGATTAAATAAGGGATTTATTATTCCACTGTTATTTTATTACCTATAGTATTTTAACTGTTTGTTGACGAAATATTTCTTACGAATTCATCTGAGTATCTTATCGATTGCATAGATCGTTGGCAGAAATGAAAGCAACACAGAACAAAAAATTGGATGCGCTTAAAGATCGTTTCTTAACAAGTCAAGTCTAAAAAACGAAAAAATAATCAAATTTTGGATCGCTCAACACGCGGCCATGGCGTGTTGGGTAGTAGTGTTGCGTAGTAGTGAAATTATAAGATCTGGTAAATAGGACTCAGTAGCAACCCGTAATCAAACTGTCAGTCAACTTGGTTGGTTTCCTGATATAACGTGGTAATTGCATCATTTGGCAAGTGCATTTATATTGAAATAATCGTTTTAACCCCTAAACAATCTTTTTTTTCTCCCTTATTTCCCCCTTTGTTATCGTTAACAATAGCAAAAAGACTGAAAAAATCATTTTGGTGCTCTTTTGTGAGATCAGTGAAATAAAATTTTTCTTTATTTCGTTTAATTTTTTAAAAAAATATGACGGCAACGAGAAACTCTGGTACAATTGTGGAATCGAGTCACTGAGGTACTTAACCTACCGCCGAACAATTAATTGATTAAACTTTCCGAATCCTCCACAAATATGCCAGTTAGAGGATATTACATTCAGATTTACTCAGGATTAAGGAGATTTCATGTCTATCCCCCGGCTCAGGAATACGGTTGTCACCTTACACGATACCAAACTGATATTGGTCAAATAACGAAGCAGCCCTTGTCGGCAACAGGCGGGATGATTTTGAAGTATCACTAAGGCTCCACAACGACGTATACTGAAGTCCATACCGTTTTCATGAAGGTCCAATTCGACAGACTACGTCTGTGGTGCGATTGATCGCGGAAAAGATGACGAAACATGAACTAATCATGTGAATATTTCATCCTCCAGAATCAAGAATGATAAGCGTGAGTCACACAAATTGTGATTTTGTTGAACGTTTGCTGAGGCTCTCAGCAAAAGTGAGCCAAAGAAATGGTGCACATGCAGGAAAGCAAATTAAAGGCCGTCTGGTGTTCTTATTACATGGGAGCTGCCAAAACTAAGCTCAGTGGATGAACAATGGCCATATCATGCAAACGTTTGCTGATGATTTCAGTGTTTTCATTGACATACAAAACTGATGTGGTAAAATCACTTTATTCATATAAGTTCTTCGCTTTTCATGCAAATCGTTTAGTCCAGCACTGACCATGTAGAATAATTCATCTCATTTTTATTTCTCTGAAAATTAAATCAGTAAATATTGAATTAAGAAAATACCCCTAAAGGACCCTCTTTGATCACCTACTGCTTCAAAATAGAGTTTTCGAAATAACCCAATTATCTAATCTTTCGGGTTGTCCTATTTTTTATTCATGACCGCCATGCATCCGTTAGGTTCACCTACAAGTCATTTAGGACCATAAGCAAACCACGACGGCCATGAAGACGTGGCAAAACAAAATATCTAACTAATGCATATGGGCAGAACAATAGCTCGGCAGGTGTGTTTTAAAATGTATGCATTTCTTAGCTGTCCTCTGCAAAATTACAACGTGAAATCACCAAACTTTCCTCACCTAGGTTTCTGAAAATTAATCGCACGAACCATTCATCCCCCCCTGTCCTCAAGATACGAAAAGTAGCAATGTCATTGTGACAACAGCACTGCAACGAGCTCGAGATAGATAAAGAAACACAAATTTTATTGAATTAGATAGCAGCGAATCCAAGTTTTGTGTGAAAGTCGATGCATACGAAATATTCATTTACAACTCTGATGCCAGTAATTTTCCATTGAGCGAAATGGGTCATAAGGCAAACTGTGGAGCTGCGTCGGTGGGAGGGTATAACAGGTAATTTAGAGTTGACAACAGAGTTGAAAACGTACCGTGAAGAGTATCACAACTCTCGGTAGAGCTCGCTGAAGGTAGGTATACATAGCTATTGGACATTATTTCAAGAGTATTTCAGCGCTGACTGATACAAAATTACACGAGATGTGAGAGATTTGTAAGTGTCAACTGAGAGTTTTCTACGCCATCACCCGCTAATTCGTTACCAGTCCACGGGACACTTATGGGACAAAATAAGAGCACTTTAGGGCCCGAAAAAACCGATTTTCAAGTTTTTTGAAATTTTTCTTCTATCGGAATTGGTTTGAACATATGATAAGCTTAATATTTACGCAAAAAAAAATTCGTGTCACAAGCACTTTAAGCGATCAAACAGGTGGAGTCTTTGTCATTATAATTATTTACTGGCTTTATAAAGGTGACGTGCCTAGATAGGTCGTTGCGCTTTTCAAAAGGTGTCTCAGTGTTTATTGGTTGAACCTAAGTCCCACTAGATATCATGATCACTTATTTCAGTAAATTCTCGTATGTGGCTTTTTTGAGTTACGTTTTTCTACTTCTCTTTTCATCGATAGAGAATTGTTATCATCATTTCTGCTTTGTTATACCATGCCTTGTAAACCATTGTTTTTATTCAAACAATGCTTCCACTTACTTGCGCTAGATTGCGCATGTTATAAATATTAACAAACCCATTCTAAATTAATCACGTTTATAACTCTTTTTTTTTTATTAAAAACTCGAAAATTGTCACTCATTTACCTAATGACATTCATCTTCTTTAATCAGCTTATTTCACTTTGCCTCTACGTTATTTAAAAATGTAAAAACAATAGCTTCAAACAATATGTTGTTTGAAGCTGTAATTTTCTTTACTAATTGCACCTATTCTTCCATTTTACTAGCTCTTAATTCAATCATACATGCTTCCTTTGTAATTATACTTTTTGTTCTCTTTTTAATCAGGATTTCAAAAGAAGAACACTGCGTCATTTCTTACTCATCAAGACAAGAATACGAGAATTTGATTTTCAATCAGATAGTGCCTTTAGAATATTCCTAGATTCTCCCAACCCTATGACCTCAGTAGTAGGGCGTATAAAACTGCGGACGTGTCCTACGACTGTCACGGTTCGCACCTTCGCCGAAAAGAAGGAGAGAGAGAGAGAGTACAGACTACACCAAAACAGCTTGTAGGTATGAAACACATGAATCCAACAACCCCTTTACTTAATTATAAAAACTTATGTTTCGATATAGTGTCAGGGGTCTTTATAAATCTACTAAATAAGCTTGTATGGTCGATGACAAATCAGCCTTTAACTACTGAGGAAGTTGCGAGGCAGAAATTTCTACCAAACGTTTCGACTCATTCCTCGATACAAGAGATGAATAATAAGTTCTTTACATGTGAAAACCATCTGTCCTTTCGTTTTACAATTTATTTCTAAAGTATTAATCATGAAGGATAATGTTTGGCCAAGCCCTAAATGTTCGAAACATTCTTTTCCTCATAACTACCATACCTACTGTGAACGATACTAAGGTTGCTGGGATACTTTCCTGGACAAAACTACACGATTTCAAGAACATCAAACGTACTTCCATTTTGCAGAGAGCTGTCGACGTGACGTAAACATTTGGGCTTTTTTCAGCAATCGTGCGGGGTTTTTTCTCTTTTCTAATTCCCAGTTTCATTTACCAGACATAGAGAGCCGCTTATTTAAACAAAGTTCAGCCTTTTTTTTTTTTGACAAAATTGCGTCCTAAACCATCCTCAATTTAGCTGAACCTTTTTTCTGAACAGTTATATTTGTGAACAGTGTCAGGAGGGCCAAAAGCTAACAGAGGAAGGACGTTTATTAAATAAAATTAACCGCCCTACAGAGAGAGCCTGAGGCTCACTGATTGCGAAAAACCGTGGTTTGGGTTACATCTCGTATAAATAACCGGCCCAGATGGTCTTAGTGGGGTCAACCATTAACCGTAAAACGACAAAAAAATTGCCGTAAGGCGTGAAAATTCACAAATTTTAACCGTTAGCCGTAAAAGCCATCACCTCATTTAGACCCTCAATGAAGACTGAACTCAGTAATGTGGAAAAAAGGGGAAATACCACATGGCGACGAGACCTATAAGAAATTGGCTAAGATAATGCTCAGCCCATTTGCTTCCCAAATGACTTACTAATCCATACCCTCAAGGGCCCACCTAACAGGCGCGGTTTTGCTTACAAATGTAACTCATGGTGCGAGCTTTTGAAGGTGTGATAAGGTTAAAGAACTGCATTTAAGTGCTCAATGTAACGCTTCTCCTTACTTTGATTGTTTGTTTTATTTTCCTATTTGACCGTGAAGTATAATTTTCGTTGTTTTGCAGATAAAGCTGAATATTAATTCTTTTTGTTTTCCCATATTTTAGCAGGTGCAAACCATAGACGAGGCAATGTCTGTCTTGTGTTTTTGCGCGCTCGCTGCCTTCAATATTGTCCTGTGCCGAGGTAAACCGGCTCAATATCTATACAATTGTGTGTTGCTTTGAGAATCTTCTGTTGTGCTAACAAATTAGAAGGAGATAAGTCTCTAAACTAGCCGATAAGAAATGCTTTTGTGACCGAGTATGTATAAAGGAGGATTAATGGCTTGAAGCTTACGTTAAGGTATTCCTTTTTCTAAAATAATTGTAGAGGTACGGGTTCAGAGAGATGATTTATCCCAAGATGTTAAAAATGAAAATGGTACAAGGCATGGATTTTGTTTTAAAACACATCAAAGCTACGATATTAATAACTATTTCTATTATTTTCTTCTCCTTTTTTCAACTATCAAGCCGCTTCATCCGATTGTGAGAATCCTCCATTAGACATATCTATCGTGATCGATCAAACAAAGAGCGTCGGAGCGGACAACTATGACGCCATGTTGGATTCGGTCATGGCACTCATTTCGCAGTATGATGTCGGTAGAGACAAGACACACTTCTCCATCGTAACTTATGCAAAAGATGCACAGGTTCGTGTCAGCTTTGACGACCTAAAATATCAAAGTAAAGCGGCCCTTCGTGCACTGATTGAAGAAATGAAGAAGAAGGACAAGTTGGGGAACCCGACTAGGACTGACAACGCCTTGAAAGTGGTCGGTGAGAAAGTGTTCGACGAAAAGAATGGAGATCGACCGGAATCACCAAATGTCATGATCATCTTCACTGATGGGGGAACGCATAAGAGTTCTAAGCCTTACAGCACCGTGCTACCAACTCTTGAGGTGAGAGCAGCAACTTTTGACTGATATGTCGTTTAATTCAGTTTTTGTCCGCTTTCAGTCTTCAAACTTAAAGGTGACTTTTAAGGGATAGAATCTGCTCTTTCCAGAGACAGGTACATTTACAAGTTTATTGCAAGCTTACAAATGTGCTTACAGCTGGTCGAGGCAAGCAATGGTTTGACGCATAACATAATTTTTAACACATTTCTGTCAAGAATACAACAATAAAAATGAAAACTGCATTGCAGTAACTGAAAAGTACCACAAAATTAATGTAAATGGGTCTTAACAACTCAACAATTATGAATTACTGTCGATTAAAACAAATAGGCGAGAAAAATTCGTGTGACTAGCTATACACCTTTGCAAGAAAAGAAATGAAATTACTGTATTAACAAAAATAAGAGGAAAATAAGAAATTACATTATTTAAACTAAAAGGATCAAAGCCAATTATTACAGCAATATGAATCATAACACCAATATTACAAAAAATTATTTATATAATTGCCCGAGTTTTCAAGACAATTTCTTAATAAGATCAAGCAAATCAGTTTAATCATTTGCCTCCAAGAGTTTTTGAAGAAAGACATTGTGAAAGTTGTCTTGTTTGAATTTCTTTTAAAAGAAATATGATGCATATGTCATCGGGTAGACTATTCCCAGACTAACGCCGTTTCTTGAAAAGGATTTATTTCACTTGTCTAGTCCAGAATACTCGAAGAAGAATTAACCTCTTAACGATAAACTTGGGTTATGTCGGGGAATATTAGAACACAGCATGATGAATAAGTAAGCTTTAGTATCCTCCCTTTTGTTTTCTTGACTGAACAACGTAAAATGGTCAAATGAAATATTCTGTTCTAATGGGGTGATCCTATGAAATCTTACAATGCAGAAAAAGGGAGTACAACGTGTGGCTGTTGGAATTGGAAAAAACATTAAGCAGTCAGAGCTGGAGACTATCGCTGGAGACAAGGATCGAGTCGTTAACGCTAAAAATTTCGATGACTTGAACAACCAGCTGGACGATATTCGGGAAGCTACTTGTAGTAAGTAGAATTTTTTTTAACGATAATTTAAAACACCTGATAGAGCACTAGTGGTTGATATCTCCAGAAGTTTCCAACTGATATTCTTATTATAATTATATTCTGACTGTGTAACAAAGAGTTTCCAGATGGATCTAGGGGTTGAACAAGTCTTGCACCGTCACCAACTACTTCCTTAGGTGGCTTAAAAATTCAAAGTAATTAATCATATTAGGTTTTGAAACATCTTACGACGTGTTTTTACCAGCAGAAAATTTGTCGTAAAAATACCTAGTAAAATCAACTAATCTCCTCCATTATACTTCGTAAGTTGATTATTACAAAGGAGAACCTCCTAGAAAGATAGTCTAACCTACGCCCATTGCTGACTTAGACTTCAGTCGCCACTGACACAAAGTCGCAATGAAGGTCTCTCTCCCAAACCTTTTTTACTATCCTTGTCTTTAAACTAATTCCAAACCAGCTCTACAAGCTTCTTCAATCAGTCCGTCTCTCCCGTCGGCAACTATCAACCTTACAGGATGACCTCATCTTCATTTACAAAAATAATGTACTCCAGAACTTTCGTAAACTTACAAAATACAGTTTCCATCGAATTATATCATAACTGCATCACCTATAGTATGTGCAAGAAGTTTTCATTGGGTTGCATGAAAATGCTGCAGAATCCACATCTCGTGAAAAACTTTTCAGTAAATTTTCAGGAACATTTTCCGTTCATAACAAACAGAAATTTTCCCAAGTTTTATCTGAGCTCGAATGAAAATAAAAAAAACGTATTTGGTCGAACTGCTTTCTTTTTTCGACTTCTTTTCCTCTCAAACATAAAGACCCTGGATAAATAGTTTGCATGAGTAGAAGATAGCAAAAGATGCAAAAATAAATCAAATAGGAGGTAATTTAGTGTTAACAACTGAGTTGAAAATGCAAATTGACCACCGTAAAGAGTTTAAAGGCTGACGTTTCGAGCGTTAGCCCTTCGTCAATCGCTCTGACGAAGGGCCAACGCTCGAAACGTCAGCCTTTAAACTCTTTCCGGTGGTCAATTAGCGTTTTCAACTCAGTTGTTAACACTAAATTACCTGCTATACTCTCCCACCGACGCAGCACCACAGTTTCTTTAGAAACTTACCCCCTTTATTCATAAATCAAATAGGGACCAGAATGTTCAAGATTAGAGGATATCGAACATTATTGTCAGCTGTATAAACCACTGGCTATGCCAAGCTCGTTAAATTCTGAGAATTATTGCTTTGATATCATTTTTAGATATTGATGGAGGATACACCGAATGGAGTGAGTGGAGCAAGTGTTCAGCAACTTGTGGCGGGGGGGTGCGTTATCACTCCCGAACCTGCACCAACCCATCACCGAAAAATAATGGAAAAACGTGTATTGAACAGAATCTGGGTCCGGCCAAGGAATCTGAAAAGTGCAACACCAAGCCCTGCCGTAAGCGTGATATTGAGTACTTTAATGACTAACTTTGTTAACTGTACACTTTCTATACGTTACACATCCGGTATTTGTAAAAAGACATAAATGTGGGCTGGGATTATCTTGAAGGCTTCATCCAACAACAATCATTCAAACTGATTTTTTCCTTAGCTACACCTGGTGGTTATACTAAGTGGACTTCGTGGGGGAAATGCAGCGTCACGTGTGGCGGAGGAGTTCAGGTACGAACAAGGACCTGTACCAATCCCCCTCCGGCTGGTGGTGGACCGACATGTATTGAGCAAAAACTTGGACTTGCGAAAGAAACAAAGAGATGCAACACTCAGCCTTGTGGTATGTGATGGCCGGTGGAAAGAAGGGTAGAATAATTAACAAATTAACAATTTCTGTTTATAATCTCTTTTCCATAACCCATAAGCAATGGAAAGGTAACTACTCATTAAAGTCATGATTTTTCTTGATATGTTGTAGAAGGCTCAGGAAAGTGGGTTTTCCTTTCAAAGTGAAACCTTTACCACCTCTATGATGGTACAGTTTTTTCCAGTATAGTATTCTCGATGCCAAAACGCTTTTTGTTACGATGCATGTTATCACAATCATTGCCGTCATTTTAGTTTGTGGTACTATATTGTAGACGCACAACTATATGAAATGAGTATGCTATCATTTGCAGGTACAGATGGCAACTGGTCTCCCTGGGGTGCCCCTGGTCCTTGTGATAAGACCTGTGGGGGAGGTACTCGAGTGAGACAAAGAACATGCACCAACCCACCTCCATCTGGGGACGGTAAAGATTGTGCAGGAAGCAGTACAAAAAAAGAGCCCTGCAACACACAAGCATGTATGTTCCTGTTCAAAGGCATTGATACTTCGTCATGTCGAATTATAGATCGAAGTTAAAAAATCGCAAGGGGAACGAAAATTTGGATAAAAGGCAATAGCCATAAGTCTGTTAGGCCTTAAATATGCCCACGGTTCGCGGAAATATATCGCCTCCAGTCGCTTTCAATCCAAAATGGAAAAAAAGAACATTTCCTTCATATTTTTTATTTACTGTTCTACACTTTTTTTTTTTTTTACTAGAGATGTAAGTCTTGGAGTTTAGGAATATTCCCTAGCAAGATTTATGTAAAGGGGTCAATGAAAATTTAAAAAGTGCATTTTGTGAGGAATGAAATTCAGGGGAGATTAAAACCGTACAATTCTTGCACCACCTTTGGTTGTATTGACCCCAGCTAGTTTTACTCCCACTCCCTCCCAAAGGCCTAACCTTGGAGAAGGAGAAGCGAGGATAAGCCTTTTTGCCATGTCATCTTGTTGAGCTTACAATTCATCTTTTCTAAAGCCCCCTTCCATTTATTTTTTTTGGTTTATGATAAACTCTCATATCAACATGACGAAATGGCAAGGAATTTACCTTTTTTATCATCAAGGCCCAACTAAAAAACCGGAACCACCTCCACCCAGACCTTGTAAGGAACATCTCGACGTTGGTGTCATTGTCGATTCCTCCAACAGCATCAGTGGTGGTGATTATAATATAGCACGTAATTACTTAGTTCGGCTGGCTCAAAGACTAGAGGTTTCCGAAGCTGGAACACATATGGCGATCCTTCTCTACAGCTGGGAAGCACATCTCTGGCACAAGTTTGTACATTCTTGCCACATACAGAGCACGTCTGGGTTTGAAGCTGAGGCTGAACTTTCATTTTTTGGAGGGGAAGGGAGGGTGGGTTTTTGTGGGAGGGGGCTCGAGCCTGTAAATTTCAATCGGGCACAGTTAATAATAACTATATTACTATAAGATAACTGAATTGTTGAGGTTCGTAACGATGATGATAAAAATGGCATTGTCTATAGGTATTTGATTCATTTTTTCTTTTAAACTACATTTTTTAATTTAATTTGTTTTGCAACTATTCTTAAAGCCAATTAAAGGAATTGAATAAATGACTTTCAGCCTACCTGAAATAATTTTCTAGGACATATATTTTCTAATAGTCACGGTTTTCATAAGGCTTAAGTTTTACAAGATTTTTATATGAAAATGGCTGTTTATCTGCGCTGATTTCAGTTAGGAATGTCGTTTATTTTTTTATTCTTCATGGTTCGAAATGTCTTTCTGTGGTAGCGTCCATTTGATGAGCTGTTTAACATGCAGTTTCAACTTTCTTATTTATAGACAGCGTTAATCTTGTCCTTCACTAGCTAGACTTGTTTCTTCTCTCCTGCACCAATCACTTGAACAAGAACTGTTCCACCTCGCATTCCTTAACGAAATGAGCTCAGCTCCTTCAGACGATCGCCCCTGAACATTCCTACAGCAAAACGTCTCTAATACTATAACACTTTCCTCCAAAGACTCGCACAACTTTCTTCCTTCAGCTCATTTCCGTCATCAATGCTTTTCAGATTTACCGATCCGCAAAATATTAATGCACTAACAGCCAAAGCCAGAAGCTTGCCGCATATTCAAGGTGGAACAAGAACAGACAGAGCCCTAGAACTAGCTGCGGAAGAGTTTTTTGGTTGGGACAATAGTGGAGACAGACCCGATAAACCAAATGTGCTACTTGTGCTGACTGATGGTGACACAAACGAAGGGAGTAAGCCATTCAGTCAAGTTATTCCTCCTTTGAATGTGAGTTATCTTTCAAATAGCAGATCGAAACACTTAGATAGACTCGAGAAACTGACCATGTAAGCTCTTAAAATCACTCAATCTCTAACTAAAAACTCTTTTTAGGAAAAGATGTGAGGGTATGGGTGATTTGGCCAGATCTCAATTTCAAAAATGAGTCCTCGGATTTCAAACATCCCTAAAACTTACCTCTCTATTTTTGCAGGATGCGAACGTAAGGAGAATTGCTGTTGGAATTGGAAGTGGAATAGATATCTCGGAGCTTAGACAAATTGCTAGCTCCAATAATGATGTACTTCAGGTTTATGGCTACTCACAGTTAATCCCTAAACTAGAGTCCATCATGAACTTGGCTTGTGGGAATCAGTATCCAGGTTGGTTGACTAGAACTAATGGAAAAACCTAATGTAAAATCAAGAAATTATGTAACATCGTCAACAACCGTAAATAATTTAGTCTAACGTAGTCGGCTGAATACCTATTTCACCTTCCTAAAAAAATATTAATTTTGCTCAGCAAAAACTACAATTATCATCAACCTCTTTTGTAATATCGATTGGAATTAAATTATGTTCAATTTCTTAGATATAGACTCAGCAAATGTTTTTTTTACGCTACAATTTTGGTTATTTGGAAAGTTATTACATTTCGTTGCATCTCCCAAAAAATCAGTATTAACAAAGTTTATTTGTGTTTATGACACCTGTTTTACTTTGGTTTTACCTCAATAGGTAATTGTGGCAATTGGGGCTCCTTCGGAGGCTGTAGTAAGAACTGTGGTGGCGGAATTCAAGTTCGCTCGAGAAGTTGTCCGGGAAACAGTCTTCATTTGAGGAAACAAAAGAAGCATTGTGCCGTCAATCTTTGTCCAGGACAAAGTAGGTATTTTAAGTGGTATCAAATTCTCTTTTCAAAGATTGAAAAGGACTCTCCTTATAAAAATAATCATCACTTATTACAATGAGAGATTTCTGATATACAGTGACAGTGATGTTAGCAGTCGTTGAAGTAGTCGTAATAGTAGTAGTAATAGTTGTAGTAATAGTAGTTTATGCGAATGAAAGTCATCCTCGCAGAAATGTGCACTACTTGAACAATATTGAAAATAAGGCCTGAAAAAAATTCAGCCCTGAATTTTTTCAGGCCTTATTTTCACTACTGCTCAAGTAGTGCATATTACTGCGAGGATCACTTTCATTCACGTATTTATCCGCAGTTCAAATATATGACTTTCATATATTCTTAGCCGTTTAATAGTAGTTTATATAGCTAAGATATATCGAAAAATCAACTCTCAAAAAGATAACTTCAAACCTTCTTGTTTTGACATTTGGTCCAAAGCTGGATCTATTTCTATGGCGCGTAGATGCTTCTTTGTAAAAAATAGAAACAAATATTTAATGGATGTTATCCATGTTTGAATTTATGTAAAAAAGCAGAAATAAGACAGTTTACTAATTTTTTGGAAAAATTCATCGTGACAATACTCACAGCTAAAACGTTCCAGGTACTCTGCATTGTTAACACAGTGCTTTAATATAGCTTTCGCCGGTGCGGCACGCCAGTTTTGAGATATTCAAACTGATAGATATCCTTCCATGCGGTTTAGTTCATAATACACTATATAGTTATATGAAAAGTTCCGAAAAAAACTTTTATTAATCATCTGAAGTCCGTAAATTCTGCCGGAGTATCAACTTTGGCCAGCAGATTGATGCTAGGCCACTTCAAACGACTTGGCTGTTTCGTTGTGATAGTAGTAATAGCAGTAAGTGTAGTTTCAGTGACGATCTAGTTTTTTAATTGATCATTCTTTAGAGCCTTGTGAAGACCATGCAGGAAATTGTGCAGTCAGAGCTGCTGCAGGAGACTGCTGGAGGACCGCTAATGTACCTTCCAGTCAACGCTTGCTCTACGTTGGCAGGACGTTTCCTTTGTGGAACACTTGTCCAAAGAGCTGCAGACGATGCAATGGTATGAGTAAAAAGGCAAAAAATTGCCATATTTAGCTTTCTCCCCTTTTTTTAGTCTTATTATTTTCATTCTTTAAATTTTTCCTTTTTCTTTATCTTATTTTAATTCACTAATTTCCTTCCAACCCTTGATATTCTACATGCATGTTACTTACCATCCCCTCCCTCCTCCTCTTTTTCTTCTTCGTCCCCTTACTATTCCACATGTTTCATTCTTTAACTTCTGTACGTCTTTTTCTTCTCTTTAGTTGATACCTCATGCCAAGATAGTGATCCCTATGTTTGTCCTTGGTGGTCAGTAGCTCACCGCAATTCGATGAAATGCGGTTATTCATGGACACAAGGCGGGTTTCAAAGGTACAGTCTTGGAGGTAAGCAATGAAATACAATAAAAGCTACTTGAAGATGCACATTTGGAAAGCGGAGGAATGTTGCGACTTCTTGTCCCTTGATTCCACGGAACGAAGGCTAGTTAAAATCAAACAATTTTCCAGAGCTGGGAGTGACATGAAGTGACAGGTTATAATTACAGGAGCTACTAATTAAAGAAGCCCCTGAGCATTTGAACTCGAACAATTGTTCTTGAATAAGAACACATAGGGATCCTTTATGTAGTCACGACCGTAACTGGCTATGTTTGCTCATCGGCTAAGAGTTCATCAACGGTTTGACATAAGTTGGGACAACTGCAAGACCTTTTTAGGAGTTAAGAATGTTAGCATTGTCACCGGAATAATGGCCGAGGACGAAGGTTTTTATCATTTGTCGTCTGCTACTTTAGACACAAGGTTACCAGTCATGCGAATTGTTACGGCATTTGGCGGTAGAAATGATTCTGGACTTACAGAAAAGATTACACTGCTGCATAGGTTTAAATCGGAGTCGGAACAAAGCGGCAGCTCTAATACAAAACGAATGGACAAGAGTGTTTTTTATTATTTTTATTTTGTCCCTTTTATTTTTTTATCGTGAGGATTAACAGGTTAATTTGATCGACACTAGCTTTGTCAGGCTAGCATTTGGATTTGATATTGTGTTGAATTGCGAATGCAATGACTAGTCCGACTGGTCTTTCTTCTTCCTTCAGACATGTGCAAGAAAAGCTGTGGCAAATGTAATGGAGGCGGCGGCGGCGGCGGCGGAGGAGGAGGAGGAGGAGGTAGGAATTCATAATATTATTCTATTGGAAGCAGCAACTCGCCTGCTTCCAATTATTTCATCACAAGTACACTTGTATTCTTCTTATTTATATGAAGCTGTGCGTATGAAAACAACGATTGAAAAGAACTCAGATGTAAAAATCACTGCATTCCTTTATCATAACTTTGTTATGTAGTAAAATGCAATGAAAATAAAACGAATTTATCCTACAATCAAGCCTTACTCCAAGTGGTAAAACACTGGAGCCTCTGTGGCTACTCCACATCAACCACACAATGGGCAGCAAAGTGGACTCGATCAATGCCTTTATATTTTCAGCGTTTATGTTCTAGTAACTACAATTTCCTTTGCTTGTTTACCTGCCTCTTTTTGTTTTTTTATTTTATTCTGCATCTTGTAGTGTGCCAGGATCGACTGGGCATAGTATGCCTAAGGAAAGTCCGGTTTCCAGGTTGCGGTAACTCTTTTGTGAAAGGTCAGTAACGATGAGTTCTGGCTGAGTTCTCCTCCTCACTAACAGATGCATCTATTGCAGCTTCAAATAAGCTGCCCAACGTTCACCCCTTAAGGCAAAAGTCGTAATATCAAATATTGCTGTCGGTCAAATTTTAAGCTTAAATTAAGACAGTCCCCGTGTGGTATTATCGGTCACCATACAAGTGAAGGGGAAACATAGGCCGCGAAAAGACACCTTCTTGGGCCATATGTTACAACAACAAGTTTATTTTGGTTTTTAAGACCACGAAATTAACACAAGGTGCTGTTAGTTCGCTGATCCAGAACTGGAAATCACTCTTGATTTTGATTTTTCCCGTAAAAAAAGTTTGGTTGGGTTTTATTGTATCACATTGCGATTCTGAAATAGTCTGAAATAAGAGGCCAGTGTGCATAAAAAAAATCACACGAACCCCAAGTTATCGTAAGGTTATGCCACATAAAATTTCAGATTATGAGGGTGTTTGAGGTTTCATAGAGTAACCTACCTGTCCTAATATGCTCAAGTCCACAAACAGATAAAACTACGCGAGGTTCTTGAACAGTTCTGGTTATTGGGAGTCAAGAATTCCTCATTTGGAAAGCCCACTAGGAGAGATGAGAAAAATTAGAACCAATATTGATACGTCATAAGTAAGCGGCCAATCTCTTAGGCAATTTTTAATTTTATCAAATCTTCCGTACACTTAAAAACTTTTTCCGTTTGATCTAGTTACACTTTGGTGTTTTAAAATTCCAAAGATGTCTTGATATCTAATTTACTTTTTCACCGCTGAAATCAAATTTTTTTTATTTTTAGAGCATAGTTTTCCTTTAATCGCGTGTCGAGTGTCACAGTTCTTTTAACTCCTTGAACCAAGCGATTTCATGTGGTTAAATATGCCCTGGAATCTGTTTTGTTGGGAGGAAACCTTTAGATCACTTACTATATCTGTAATATTAATACCAGTCCCATAACATTCACTTGACTGGTCTCTCTTCTTCCTTCAGGAATGTGCCAAAAAAGCTGTGGACTTTGCAGCGGAGGTAAATATTGGTCTCATACCATTACGACTCCCTCGTGATATAAGAAACAAAAAGCCCCTTTTAATTTGTGGCTGTCACAGCAAATAAAACCAAGGGGACATTTCCGAAATGACAAACTTTTGTCGAAATTCATTCCTTCTTCTCCCTTCGATAAATAAATCTGGTTTGTGGAACTGTAAAACTTTCCCGGAGTATTAAATTATCGAGAGATCCTTTTTTGCCCCAGTGTTACTTATGACTGAAATCAAAGCAACTCTTTGTCAAATCGACAAATTGGTGGGACAGTGTCAGAGAGAGATGGACATCATGTTCCATCTAACGGTTTGTAATCGCAAAATCCACAAAGAACATTTCCTGTAAACTGTAATCCTAAAATTTCACCATTGCTTTGCAGCCCTTTCTCTTCTGTGTACAAGAGCATGTGATTAATTCTTTTAAATCCCGCGTTCGACCTTTATAAAAGCAAAGTTGGTTTTATGAAAAAAAATATTAAGCTAACCAAAATATGATTATCATCGGGCGGTATGCCAATTGCTTTCGCGACATTTATTTACGGTAGCGAAAAAATTACAGATGTGTAAAAGTAGCAGTCATCCATCGAACATACAAGAAAATGGCTAATTCAGGAAGTATTCATTATCATTTTGGGCATTACTACTTTTTTAATTCAGTTTAATCTACTACTCTTTTATCTTAGGCGGTGGCGGTGGTGGCGGCGGTCATGGTGGCGGTGGCGGCTATGGAGGCGGCGGTCATGGTGGCGGTGGTCACGGCGGCGGGCATGGAGGCGGCGGTTTTGGCTTCGGAGGTGGTCGTCCTGGCGGATTCGGAGGCGGTCGTCCTGGCGGATACGGTGGCGGCCGCCGTCCTGGTGGATTCGGCTTTGGACGTTGATGAAAAAACTGACCGTGGACTACAGTGATTACATCGTAATGTATAATCCATATTTCTTAAATAAAATAGTTCAGTATCGACCGTGTGCATTCGAGCCTGAAAAGCTGTATCTGATAAACAAAGTGAAGGTTTAACTTTTCCTCGGTTCAATGTAAGTTTTTCGGGAAAGAGAAAGAAACCTCCGACTTTTAAACCGCGCGATAAGAATTCCTGGTGGAAAAAGAATTGAAAGTTGTATAATTATTTATACAACTCATAAAACTCTTTTCCAAATTTAAACCCAATTTTCTGTCACAACTCCAATTTTTTACCGTTTAGTGTTTTAATAAAATTCGTGAAGGTGCAGTTGAGAATTCCTCTGGGATAGAGCGCCAAGCTGCCGTCATCTTAAATTTTCCAACGGAGTTTTGAGTTCAATGTTCAATGCGTTTGCGTTTCGGAAGCTGTCTGGTGACTCACTCAGCCGAAGCGAAACCCCACATTATTCTAGCTGCAAACGTTTTCTCACTCGCACAAATTTGGTAATTGTATATGTATCACAAAAATAAATCGAATTTGAATGTCGTCTGCACGTCTGCACGCTATTGTCGCGTGATCACGTCTGTGTCTAACAACTTTTTCGTGAGTGAGTGCAAGTAATTTGGCATACATCACTTACACGTCAACTTTTGATGTACACATCAGAGGTTTTTCATGCCGACTGCAAAAGAGTCAGAATATAAACCTCCTTAATAAGAGTTTATGATAAAATACCGACTTAGTACATGTTTCATGGTCGCAAAACTACTTTTTATGAGGCACTCAGATCATTTGTTTTCGACCTTGGCAGTTTGTTGATGATTCAGCCTTTCCTTTTTGTTAGTTACGAATAACTGATAATTCTCTTTCTCCATATTTGAATTTCAGATTTCAGGTTATCCGATCATGAAAATATCAGTCAACAAGGGGAATTCAATGGAAATGGGAAATATAATCTATAGTCTATATTATAAAGTATATAACAAATACTACATAGAGCTATATGAGCTAGTAATTGGGAGAAATAAATCTTGAAGTTGCAAGTGAAAAAGGCTCTGAAATTCACTTTTTTGCAGAGGTTTAAACGACTTATTACTGAGTTCGAAATGCATAGATTCACTGGCTAAGTACAAAAAACAAAGGAACCGGCGGTCTTTGCTGAGGACTATCTTGTTTGTATAGGTAATCGCGTGACTTCGAGTGCAATTTGGAATAACTAAGCACGAGTAAATTTTTTCAGACTAACAAAATTTGTGGTCTTTGAAAAAGTTAAAAGAGCTTATTTATTCCAAATTGTACGAGAAAAATCATATGATTACGTATTAATAATATACATGACAAAAATACAAGATAGCTTATCATAATTATGCAGAGGCAAACGCGCGCATCAAGTGCAAAAATAATTTATTCAAATCCCGTAAGTGACATTGTGCACTCGATCAAAACAACTGCGTACGATCAAAACAATAATATACAATGATATTTTCACATCTTTACGGCGCAAAAAAATTCAAAGTTCAGCTAAACAGTTCAAGGAATTGTTCAGTGTGGTTTGTTACTTCTTTGCATTGAATTTACCATTTTCTGCATTGAATTACCTGAAAACTGTATTTATCTTAAACAATCAGAAGCTTGTGATTCAATTCAAGTCCCCTATCAGTCCATTTTTTTTTATTCACCTTTTTTAAAGGTCTTGATGGACCGCCACGTTGTCCAAACGAAAGCAAATTGTTATCTGAGACATACCAAGGCTGGGGTATTCTTGAATTAGTATGGGTAGTTTTCTTCCTAATTTCAGATCTAGATACCGCACACAAAATAACAAAATGGAAATTGTCCAATGTTTCTTGAAGATTCGCTTTCGCTTTCCAAGATCCCGTATCTATTTGTACGTAGGCTTATTCTAACGACTCTCAGTTTTACGTTTAGGGTTAAAACAATCAGCTGAAGGCAGTTTAAAAGAGGTTTTAAAGAAATCACTTTTTTGATCATCATTTAATTATTCAGGTCCTTGACATTCAGTTTTATGAAATTTTTTCCGTGCATGTTGATGTACAAAAAAAAATGGAGTTTTGATGTTATGGCACATTTTTCACTCGCTTTTCAGCAGTTGTGTCAACTCTGCCGTCACCTTTTGTTATTTGGCATTGCTTATATAGTATTGTAGTCAAAATGTTAGCTTTTTATGTCCCAGAGTTGTTCAACGTTTCAACTCTTCCTTGTGATTCCAAGGTTATGAGAACAGATTGTTTTATCTCAGTGTTGTTAGCTGCTAACTTTACGTAACAAAAAATCCTCCTGTGTAATTTATAAGGAAATGCACAGCATTTGGAGGGGGGTGCTACCAATTGGATCCTGGGAGTTTACTGTAAACTTACCTTCTTTTTAAGATAAAATTACGATTCTTTACTTAGAGGCGTTGAAATTGACCTAGTTACGAAATTCAAAAATTTCTACTCATAGTCCTCAACATCGACGAAATATCTTTTGATCGAGACGAACGAGACACAGAGACTGTTCCTAGTTTCTAATCACATTATCGCCTATGCAAATGTTACAAGTTCAAACAATTACAAATAAGCGGCGTTTTCACACAATATGGGAGGCCGACTTTTTAAATCAATATTTCAACAATGTGAAACAAAGAAATTCAACTAATGAGAATCTATCTCCAAGTGTTGCAAATTAGTTCTAGGAATCAATGTACCGTTAAAAAGATAAAAAGTTACTGAATATCTTTTTGTGGAATTTTACATTCCACAATGTTGTTATTAGTTCTTACTGAAAAATATATCATTTTGTCTGTCTGTCAACAATGAGGGGTGGAGTTTCTAGGTTTCTGCGCTACCTTGGGTTGCAGTTGTTTGGAATGTGGGAGTAATTTGTAGTTTTATTTCCATTTAAAAGTTGTAGACACTTCTAAAGCCTTCATTATTTATCCGGCTGCGCTGGAAGAATCGGCAAGGTAAGATTTTATCGCTTCCTTCGAAGAAGTTATGTCCGATGTTGTACTTTGAGTAAATTTTATTTAGCAAGATTCAATGTACAAAGAGTGACTTTGTAATCGGGAGAAGCTTAAAGGGTGACATGTCAGATTAAGGTCTGGATGGTATTTTTCATTATGAAGCAAGAATATTACCAAAGCAAGATATAAAAGAAAATTATTGGATAAGCCAACACAATTTAAATAATATAATTTGACTTAAATTTCGTCGCTTATCGTCTAAAAACACTTGAGTCGCAGTTTTATATTAAAGTTTTACCCCTCAGTTTTTAAAAGAAATGCACTGATGTGGTCTACACAAAGTACAAAAGTACAAAGTCTGAATACAAAGAAAAATTCCATGAAATGGAACTTAGCAGTATGAAAACCAAAACGAGTAAAATAATCTGTACCGTGAAATTTATAATTTAGAGATTCAGCAAAAGATCAATCGACAGATCACCGTCTTGTATGGAATTAAACGAGTTACGTGGCATTGGTGATGTGTTGGCCAGTTCGAAGCCTGTCGAGATGGGGGGCAAGTAGACCGGAAAAATGCACATAATAGGAGGTTTCTTTTTTTATCTAAGTTAAATTTAAGAATAGTGCATGAACATGCACGGGCCTTGTATTGATATCTGATGAACTAAGCAGAATCACCCTTCACTGCTCGTTCAGGAATAGCAATTTGGTTTCATTCTTTCCCTTTGTGACTTTAAAAAAATAATATATTTTGTTTTACTTTCTAAGGATCAAGGATTGATGATACACGTATGTTACGTTTAAAAATGATATCAACAGAAAGCAGTTTTGTAGTACAGTGATTTGATGATTTCCTTTCATTTTCCAACAGATGCCAACCGCAGGCAAGGTCATTAACGTCTTGTGGCTTATCGTGTTGGCTGCAATGAATCTTTCTCAAGGTAATAAGGTTATAATCCATTCCACTATGATAATAAGTTCCTCTCACCTTTGATGATAAAAAATACGTTATTATCCATTGTAAGAATTCTAAAAGTTCACATAAATTCCCAAAACTGGTTTCTTAGCTCAGTAATCAGAAGCGCTCAACTAACCGGCATATGTAGGTACTGGCTCTACACTCGTCGAAGCCTTCTTCTGCAATGACGTTCGATTCACTTCAGTTAACGATCTGTAAAGAACGATTTTTCACATCTTATATATTCTATGAGAGAGATACTAGGCTTCCATGTATTCCGGGTTTACAGCCCTGAATTGAAAGAAATCTTTGGTAAAGTATGCTCGGGAAAGAGATTGATTTCTTGCAAGTCACTTCATTGAAAGGTTCACCAAAGATGAGTTTTTAATGCATTTTTCTCTCTACTTAGCCGCCTCATCCGATTGTGAGAATCCTCCATTAGATATATCTATCGTGATCGATCAAACAAAGAGCGTAGGAGCGGACAACTATGACGCCATGTTGGATTCGGTCATGGCACTCATTTCGCAGTATGATGTCGGTGAAGAAAAGACACACTTCTCCATCGTAACTTATGCAAAAGACGCAAAAGTTCGTGTCAGCTTTAATGACCCAAAATATCAAAGTAAAGCGGCCCTTCGTGCACTCATTGAAGAGATGAAGAAGAAGGACAAGTTAAGGAACCCGACGAGGACTGACAACGCCTTGAAAGTGGTCGGTGAGAAAGTGTTCGACGAAAAGAATGGAGATCGACCGGAATCACCGAACGTCATGATCATCTTCACTGATGGAGGAACACATAAGAGTTCTAAGCCTTACAGTACCGTGCTACCAACTCTTGAGGTGAGACCGTAAAACTGACAGTCTAAATCTCGTCAGTTCGACTCACATACAAATGGTGACGAACGGCGTTGGAGAGCGGCCCATTGAATTTTCTTGTATACAATACCCCAAATCAACTGGAAAGAATTCTTGAATATTCATTTACTTTTTATTGTGTTACTTCTTCTGATGATTGTTCATCGCTTGCCTTTTGCAAGCGCCATGACAAGGTCAAAACATCACGTCGTAGCTTCCCATCAGCTAAAAGGTAATGATTAGTCGACTGTGGATTGTTTACATCTCTCCGATGAGATAGCTTGGGATTTTCTTTGTTAATCGTTTTTATCAACTTGTACAAATGATAAAGTGACTTGTAGATGAGGAAACAGTTGAAAATTTGTTCTTCACAGACTAACAGCAATTCATGTAACTGGTCTGAAAAAGAAAAAATAAAATCTCAGCGAGTATTAAGGCCTCGCATTCCAAGTACTGAGTCGGTGCTTGGGTGCAAGGCAAATTTAGTTGGATTCTTGTTTCCCATGAAAAAGGAAACCTGGTCGCGTTATTGTAGACGACGTTCGATGGACAGGCTTTAGTAGCAGTTTATCATTTAAGATCAATTCATTGCTGGTCAGAATTTTTCACTTTGCAGATGCTATGGCAAGCTCTATCTTCCTTCTTATTTCTGTCCCACGTCAGTTTGTCACCCAATAATCACACATATAACGGCTAAAAAGCAATTGATAGAAAGACAGACGAAAAATAAGGCTCATAAGAGCAATCTCTCCACGCAGGAAAAAGGAGTACAGCGCGTGGCTGTGGGAATAGGTAGAAAAATTAAGCAGGCAGAGCTTATAACTATTGCTGGAGACGAGAATCGAGTGGTTAATGCCAAAAATTTTCAAGACTTGAACAACCGGTTGGACGATATTCGCGAGGCTACTTGTAGTAAGTATCATTTTAATTCAATTAAATAAAGATGAATGGACTTAAATTATTTTTTTTCCGTCTGCTCTTACTGCTACATCCTATAACATTGACTAAAAGACAAATTCTGATGTTGAGGATGTAGTTTTGGGAGACACCACGCCACCGCCACACTATTCCGACTTCATCCTAACTTTCCACGGGAAAGTGGCGGCAACTAAATGGTATTTACTAGATTATTTGCTAAAGGGCTATCTCATGATAGCTCATTAAAAGTGAAGTTTGTCTTCAAGCCCGATGGCCCAGCATGGCCAGCCAGAGCTTATCACGGTTTCCTTAGCATGAAACCACTAAGAGTGACCAAATCCCTCCTAGGATGGGATTCTAATTCAGCGTAAGGTTACCCCCAGCATTTCATCAGGCATCCCAGACAATTCGCTGGTAGTCAGTTATACTCCTGGGTGGAGAGGGACACTGTCAGGGTAAAGAGTTTTACCGGCGAGGTCTCGAAGCCAGACCTCTCGACCTGCGGCTGGGGTTCAGCGCACTAGTCACTGGGCCACCGCGTTTCCTGCAGCTCTTTATATTGAAAACAAAATGATTCCTTGAGCAGGAGATGACCGGGAAATTCGCAAATGATCTTAATATTTGACTGCTGCTGTATTTTTAGACATTGATGGAGGATATACCGAGTGGTCTGAGTGGAGTGAATGCACAGCAACTTGTGGTGGAGGAAGTCGTTCTCATTCAAGAACCTGCACCAACCCGTCACCGAAAAACAAAGGAAAAACTTGTATTGAACAGGATTTGGGTCCTAATATGGAATCCGAAGAATGTAACACCCGAGACTGTCGTAAGCATGACGTATTAACTTTTATACACGCAGATACACCAAAATTTTTCTTGTTCTTAAATATCATATCCAAACTGTGCGCAGTGAGTATGCTATTACAAAAGAAGATTCTATTTTTATATTGGAAGTTGAAGTAGCATGAATGCGAGCTGCGTTTACGTTAGGTAATGTTTAATATCTTTGTAATGAACAAACACATGTCCGCTTTTAGATGGAAATCCAATGAAGGAAGGACCAACATGCATTTCTAGATAGAATTAATCCACCCACTTGTAGGTGCTTTAGGTGCTTGATCAATAAGGTCTTGGCTTGCATTACGCGTTTGAACAAATTACTTTCCTCAGCCATACCTGGTGGTTATACTGATTGGTCAGAATGGGGAAAATGTAGCGTGACATGTGGTGGAGGAGTTCAGACACGAAAACGGACCTGTACCAATCCCCCGCCGTCTGGTGGTGGGCCAACATGTATTGAGCAAAATCTGGGACCAGCAGAGGAACAAAAGGAATGCAACTCACAAGATTGCGGTGAGTCAGTTTGAGGGTTATGGTTACATCCACGGGGCTTTATTTCAAGAACAATTCTCAAGCATAACCTTTAACGATTTAGATCCCTTTGGTGTAAAACATTTTCAACAATCCTTCGAAAATCTAAGACGTGTTATGGCAAAGACCCATCGAAGAAAACTTTAGAAAGAATGGATTCATAAGGAGTTTGACATTGTAAACGAATGATGTATTCGAAGATGTACATTCCAAGATCTTTTCTTTACCATCAACAATTTCGTTTTATTCGATGGGTTTTGAACAAAAACTTTGGATCAACACTAATGACAAAGAAATGCGACTCACAGCGTTGTGATGTGAGTTGTTCGGTGGGAAGGGTAGGTAAAACTATTAGCTTTGTCATAACTTTCATTGTTTCACTGTGCGACAAATGAATGTAAAAACAAAAGGGAAGGTAATGGTCTCTCTGAATGATTTTTCTGGTATACTATGAAGGACTCAGGAAAATGGATTCTCCTTAGATAGGAGATTATGGTACCCTCAACACCACCAAACTGTATGCTACGATACATATTATTATTATCATCCCCATCATCTTGGTATTCTATTGTGCACGCATGACCATTTAATGTCTAATTTTGTACAGGTGAAGATGGCAACTGGTCTTCCTGGGGTGCTCCTGGTCCTTGTGATAAGACCTGTGGGGGAGGTACTCGAATAAGAAAAAGAACATGCACCGACCCACCTCCATCTGGGGACGGTAAAGATTGTGCAGGAAGCAGTACAAAAGATGAGCCGTGCAACACACAAGCATGTATGTTCTTGTTCAAAAGTATTTGTACATCTTCGTTTTGTCGAAGTGCAGATTAATGTTTATCGCAAGGGGAGCGAAAATTCAAATATAGGGTAGCTCATAAAGGTAACAGACATTTCTCCGTTAGACCTCGAATGGCGCCACGGCAAGCGGTAACATGTCACTTCCCATGTACATACGTCGTATGTAGACTACGAAATGTGTAACCCACGATAGCATTCACTCCTAATGCTTCGTTCTTCAATTTCTTCCAGTTCGTCATTTTTTTGCGTAGACTTAAAACTTATCCAGTCCTCCATAAAAACTCAGGCATTTTTGGATCGAATCAAATCGAAATAATATTTAGACCTTAATTAACCTTAGCAGTTCTGCGTCAACCCTACTGACAATGTCAATCGTGAAGTTGGGAGACACCCCGCAAGGAGAGGCAAATAGTCGGCTTCTTGATGCCCTAGACTAGAAGGGAATCATTAGACTGCCAGATGAGGGGGGCAAGGAGGAGCGTTACAATGGACTGAGATCCCTTCCACTTAAAACTGACACAGTGATGAGCTCTTACATGATGGCCCCTCCGGTTCCGAAGCTGACTTTTCCTTTTATCCCTATCATGATGGCCCCCTACCTCCAGAGCTGACTTTTTCTTCATCTTTAACATTTTATCATCAAGGCCCAACTTCACCTCCACCTCCACCTCCACCCAAACCTTGCAAGGAACATCTCGACGTTGGTGTCATTGTCGATTCCTCCAACAGCATCATTCCCGTTGATTACAATAGAGCACGTGAATACTTAGTTCGACTGGCTCAAAGACTAGAGGTTTCCGAAGCCGGAACACATATGGCGATCCTTCTCTACAGTTGGGAAGCACATCTCTGGCACAGGTCTGTACACTCATGTCACACATAGGCAGCATCTAAGTTTGAAGATGAGGCTGAACGCTGAACTTTCCAATATTTTTTTGTGGGGGGAGGGAGGAAGGGGGGTGAGGGGGTGAGGTTAAATGGGACGTAAGCCTGTGAAATGATCTTGACGTTTAAAGTTGGTATAGGTTACAATAAAATCAATGCATTTATAACTATACACCAATAAATTATTTATAGCTTTGTATCCTGAAGATTTCAGTAATTTCGTAGTTACAGACAACAATTTGAGTTTTTTTTTCATTGCATTATGAATATCTTATACTCTTACACTTGATCCCAAAGACTTGCAAAACTCTCTTCCTTCAATTATTTTCTCCCATCAATGCTTTTCAGATTTACCAATCCGCAAAATATTGATGCACTAACAGCCAAAGCCAGAAGCTTGCCGCATATTCGAGGTGGAACAAGAACAGACAGAGCTCTAGAACTAGCAGCGGAGGAGTTTTTTGGTTGGGACAATAGTGGAGACAGACCCGATAAACCAAATGTGCTACTTGTTCTGACTGATGGTGACACAAACGAAGGGAGTAAGCCATTCAGTCAAGTTATTCCTCCTTTGAATGTGAGTTATCTTTCAAATAGGAAATCGAAACGCTTAGATAGACCCGAGAAACTAGCCATGTAAGCTCTAAAAATTACTTAATCTCCGACTAAAAATTCTTCTTAGGTTGAGACTGATATAGCCAATTAATCTCTTTCTGTACAGAGAGTCCTCGGATTTCACACCCCAGCACTATCTTCCTATCTAATTTTGCAGGATGCAAGCGTAAGGAGAATTGCTGTCGGAATTGGAAGTGGAATAGATATCTCGGAGCTTCAACAAATTGCTAGCGACAATCATGATGTACTACAGGTTTATGGGTACCAGCAGTTAATCCCCAGACTAGAGTCCATAATGACCAAGGCTTGTGAAGATCAGTATCCAGGTAGGTTGACATGAATATAGCATTGATAGAAACTGTCAATACTGGGTTAAAATTTGGCCCTTTGTGATACTGCTACTACTGTGCAGTCTTTTCGATTCTAAAATGACTGTTCAACCCATAAAGAGTTCAGGCTTAAATCAGGTTCTTCCAGGTTGTTCTGTCATTTTCTCGCTGCTTCCAGTTACCTTCTGCATGCAGTGTTCTTCCGAGTCAGGTTTCTTTTCACTGTCTTTCAATCGTAGCCAAGGCCTTCCCTCTGTGATAACTTCTACAAAATAACATTTTCTGAGCAAAAAATGCAATTTAGATGTGTACGCTTATTTCAGGTGTGTACGACGACAATTAGTACAAGGCTTCTAGAATAATGACTACGATGATCTGATCGTAAATAATCGTTGTGTCATAGCTACATGCATGATGTATATAAGTAGGACACACGCGTTAAGTTTCCCTTTAAATCAGCATTTCCATCATTTATTTCAGACCCCTTTTTCATTTTACTTTTGTTTGATTGTAATTAGGTGATTGCGGTGAGTGGGGATCTTACGGAGGCTGCAGTAGGAATTGTGGTGGCGGAGCGCAGGTTCGTACCAGAAGTTGTCCTCCTAAAAGTCTACATTTAACGAAACAAAGGAAGCATTGCAACACAAACCTTTGTCCAGGACAAGGTAAATACTCATTATTAGTTTAATCGATCGTTATCATATTTGCTACTGTTTAACGAGGATCGTTATCTTGCTCGATCAGCGGATGATTAACGACAATTTACCGAAGTGGAGGTGGCTAGTGGTGAATATTTACCGAGCGGCGAAGCGGTGAAGCAGTGAGGTAAACATCCACTGCGAGCTACCGACACTGAGGTGAATAGTTGTTTAGTATATACTAAAACAGTGAGTTAATACAGCTCGAAAAGATTATTTTGAATCATCTATTCTTGTAACGATTACAATATTTTCGGGTACAAATTCCACGCGCGTTGCTCGGAGGTGAATCACAAGAGATTTTCGTAGTTTTAGTAGCCAATCAGAACGCGCTTTCGACGCTATTCACTGTTTTAGTTTATAGTAACTAATGATAAGGGATTTATTTCATAATCAAATTTGCAGTTTTTAAAACTGACTACGCCAAATGGACGCTTCACTGAATAGAACACAGTTCAAAAGTTTTGCCAAAAACTGTTGTAACATTTGTTCCGCTGAGGTCCAAACTCGGATTGATGTTAGCCTCTTTCAAACGACTTGGCTGTAGTATTGTGATAGTAGTGGTAATAATAATAGTAGTAATAGCGGAAGGTAAAACTTTAGTGACAATACTTTATTACTACTCTTTAGAGCCCTGTCAAGACGTTGCAGGCGATTGTGCAGTCAGAGCTGCTAAAGGAGACTGCTGGAGGACCGCTAATGTACCTTCCAGTAAACACTTGCTCTACGTTGGCAGGACGTTTCCTTTGTGGAACACTTGTCCAAAAAGCTGCAGACGATGCAATGGTATAAGTAAAAAGGCGAAGATTGGCCTTTTTCAGTCATCAATCATTTTCTTTATAGTCTTCTTTTTCATATTATAATTTTTATTCCTCATATTTATCCTTTTCTTTGTCTTCCTTCCCCTTGATATTCTATGAGAATTTTACTTTCCATCTTCTTCTTCTTCTTGTTTTATTTCTTCGCCTCCTTGCCATTCTTTAATTTTTGTTCTTTAACTTCTTCCTTTTTTGTCTCTTTTTACGGATTGCCTTCCATGATATTCTACACGTATTTTACTTCCTTTCAGTCGATACCTCTTGTCAAGATGGCGATCCCTATGTTTGTCCTTGGTGGTCAGTAGCTGATCGCAATAGCAGGAAATGCAGCTATACATGGCAACAAGGCTGGACTCGGTACTCTCTAGCAAGTGAGCAGTGAAGTCGTTGATATAGAAAATGCTCCCGGAAGATGTACATCTTCAGGAAGCTGAGAAATGTTCCGACTGCTTGAGATCAAGGCATTAATTTTTATTTTAAAATAGAAATATCGGAGGGGATTGGTTTGTTTTGCTTTACCTCGTTTTATGATTGGTCCATAAAACTCGCACCACTAACATACGCTTGAAGTGGTTGAGTGTTTTTTACGTTTAGTTCTTTTTACCTTTTGACTGCTCATGATATTTCCGTTTCATCTGATTTGCCGTTTTTAACGCTGGTTATCGAAAAAAAACTTCGCAAATGTAGATAAGCATTGAAAGAAAGGACTTTTTTTCAATTCTTGAGAAACAACGACGTGACGAAGTGAATGCGTGCAGTGAAGACAACATCTTTCCAAGTCATTAGGTGCTCACCAGCAACTTGAACAACTGATATAGTAATAATGATTAATGACGAGTTCACATTCTGGCGAACCCGATTTAAAATTCTAGTTAATAATGATTGGGTTTATTATCTATTATCTAAGAGAACCCCTTAAAACAGTTGGCCGATAATTTAAACAGACAACGGGAAGTAACTTCTCTATTAGAGCAATAAGGTACGTCTTCTATCGTTTTTCAATTAAAAATTGCCCACTCGGAACCTGAACCTCCTGAGAAGCTGATAACGAAAGAATAGTTTTTGTCTGTCTCACTTGATTTTGAAAAATACCCCATGAAGTAAAGTATGTGTTATCACTATAATTTCGTTTCCCTTCATCCTTCAGACTATTGCAAGAAAAGTTGTGGCAAATGCAGCGGAGGAGGCGGAGGTGGAGGAGGAGGAGGAGGAGGAGGAGGAGGAGGAGGTAGCCATATCATATCAGCCGGTCGTTCAACAGCATAACCTAACTATCCGCTCGACACCCTTTTTTCATGAATTCGGAAAACGTTGTTTTCATTCTGCTCCTATGTCCCAATAGAGCTCTGATACTGGCCAGTGTCACCTCATTTGATATTGCAACCTCTTCAAAGAAATTTAGAAATAGATCTCATGCATAATTGATGGTACGGGGCTAACATGCATTTCTAGATGAAATAATTTAATCGACCCATAAAATCTGTTGAAAACGAAGTAATTATCCCTTTCTTGGGCTGGCTTGATTAACAAGGCTTCTAATTAAATGACACACTAGGTGGTTATACTGATTGGACTCAACAAATCAAATCACGACACGCAGGGGGAGGGGTTCAGACACGAAAACGGACATGTACCAATCCCCACCCTCTGGCGATGGGCCAACACGTCTTGAGCAAAAATTTAGACCCGCTAAGAATCGAAAGAGTTGATGTGAGACGTAGTAGAGTTATGGTCAGCCCTTCTTCTTAACGTTTTGGGTTCTTTCAATTGCAATCTCTTAGCATGTCAGGATTTCAACGTCTATTACTGTCTGAGTAAGGTTAAATGGCCAGGCTGCGGCAATTATTTTGTGAGAGGTAAGCAGTGTGACTTTTATTTGAGTCATCCATCTTATTAAGGATGAATTGCTTATTGCAGTTTATAAGTAGCCTGGCCAAGAAGAAGCATATAGCTTCTTGACGAAAAAATCCATATCGAACATCACTGTCATCGAATTTAAAGCTATAAAGCTCTTCGCGCGTTTCAGGTGCGAAAGAAAAGACTGGGTGCGGTTGCTTAAACCACTGCAATTTATTAAGGCGTTAATACTTCACCATGTTTAAGATAAAGCCTGCTCCAGTGTTATAACCTTACGTCAAGTGCCAACAGCGAAAGGCTTCAGTCGCATTCATTTCCTGTTGAAATCTCGCTGACTTACATAAAAGTCAAATCTTATTTCTTGCATATTACCAGAAAAGCACTCGCCTCGGACATGGGATCTGAACCCGGCTGGTAAAAAAAGACTAACGTTAAGTCGTCAGAGATGTTGGAAATTGTAAATTACGCTGGGACAGTCATTACTTAACAGACGAGTGTAACAAGACGAACTATACCTGCTCCGAAAAGAAATTCGTCGGGTGTTTAATGCTTTCCATACTTCGAACAGCCACACTGATGGAGATATTTCAATCAAGTTTACCTCGTTTTGTCTTATTTCAAAGATTGATCAGTTACTCAACCATTTATTTTTTCAGCCAAATGCAAGAAGAGTTGTGGCCTTTGCAGCGGAGGTTAATATTCTTTCCTCTCTTTTATAATCCTAGAGTTTTATGATATGCAGTAAAGAGTAGAGATCGCCTGGCAATAACTGTTCGTTCAATCTCAGACAATTTATTGATATTTAAGTGTAGGAGAAGAATTTCTTTGCCTATCTTGTCTTCAATGTTCAACTCTCTTACTCTTCCTTAAATGCCTCCTAGGGTTTAAAATCCCTGGGAATGACTGCCAACTAATTTCTCCTCAGAGTACCACCATTGAAGTCGTTAGAATAAATGAGATGATCGATAACTGAAGAGGTTCTTGAACGTTTTACAGATCAAATTCTCCTTGTTCATACAATAAAAATAGAGTTAAGAAAAATGTGGAGAATATGCCTCCCGATGTTAGCGTGTTAAGGGTTAAACTATCACGGAAACGAAGAGGGATGTGAGCAGCTACACACCTAACTATGTTTCTGTGCGTTGTTCTTTTCAATTGGATACCGTGCTCAGATTGGGTAAAATTTCTCATACACGCAAAAAAAACCATTGTGTTATTCTTCCTTTCATTCAGGGAGTGGAGGTGGCGGTGGCTGGGGACGTCGATAAAAACGTGGCACTAAGCTGAGGTGATTTTACAGTTTTTATTTAATCATACTTACCTTTAGCCAGTGAGGGGTTCTGCCCTCAGATCCCATCACATTCACTTTACAGAGGTGCAAATGGTAAAATCTACGATTGCCATTGATTCCCCGCATCTGGGGCTGGTCGCAGAATACAACTGTCAAACGATCAAGGAAGGTGTCTAATGACAGTTTTCTTTTTCTCCTTTTTACTGTTAATATACTTCTGCTAAAAATGTTGAACAAAATTTACTGACTCCGTGTTTCCAATGTTTTTAATTTGCTTTTAACTTTTAGGTTTCTGGTTTTCCAATAATTATTACGCCAGCTGAAGAATGGAGAACGAATGGAATAGGAGATACGTCATGGCTCAGTATTGTAGGCAGGGATAGCAAATAAACACTGAAATTAAGAGTGTGCTGTCTGTAATCTCTGGATGCTCACCATTTAAGCTCTGGACCTGATTTTCCCCAATATAAACTTATAGATAAAAATTAATCGGGCATTCCAAACTTATTCGGCTTATTTTTTATTAACGTCAACAACCACTAAGTAGTCGAAGTTTCAACTTCATGCCTCAACGCGCATTTATCGTCACCTGATCAGTAATTCGTTCATTAATTAATATAAGACATGTTTTTAAAAAGGGCTTATCCTTAAAAACCAAAACTTCTTAAAAGTATCACTTTCCTTAATTAAAAGTATCGTTCTTAACAATCACTAGACTTAATAATTCAAAATTCCTTGAAATTGCCAACCCACCTAAGCTCTCCCTAAGATTTACATTTTCAAGTTTCCCCCTTTGAGACTCTTTGAAATGGAACGGAGCAAACTTAGCCGGTTTAAATGAATGTAACTTACCTTTCAAGCTATAAAATAACAACCACAGGACAAGGTACCAACGTTGCTTAGGTGCCCCAGTCACGGGGGAGAAATTTTCCAGAGGGCGCCCGTGGTGCTTCAGTTTTGGAAGGTTTTTTTTTTTAGTAAGTCAGGAACATTCATAGACACACAGACTTTGCGATTCAGGTAGAGTGCTATTTCGACTATTGCCAATCCATGGACGTCACCAGACTTCTTAGAAAGTTTACCTCCTCCATTAAACCTCTCTCCGATTTTCAAACATTTGTTCAACGGGAATTTTGATTAAGAAGTGTTTTAAAATGATCATCAAATTTCGTTCACACATTGTAAGAGAAGCTAGAAATCCTCGAGATTGATTGAGTATTGTAAAACCAAGATACTCCATAGTAGTCACTATAATAGCGAAAGAGTTATCATTTCAACTCAGAATCTTTATAAAAGATAAATAAAAGTTAAGATAACTAAGTTAGATAAATACTTATTAATATGTAGTTCTCACCACAGAATAGATTTATTAAAAGTAAATAATCCGAATTCTCAAATGTTTCAACGTGTTTGCATATCAAAGACATCCATTTAAGACGAGGCGCTCTATTTCAATCGATTCGCAGTCAAAAACAGTTTCCAGTTTCCCTTTCAATATTGTTCTAAAACATGTCAAATTTATAAATAAAATGAGACATTCAAAGTCAATGCGGAGACATTAGAAAAACAAATTAGGGAAAGAATTAATGTTCTCAGTTGTCTGTGTTCAGCAAGTTGTTCACCACAATAAGAGAATTTTAAATCACCTGTAAACACAGCCGTTTTTTCAAGTTTTTTCGTTGTTAATTTGAAGAAATTGAGCAAATCAGGAGCTTGAAGGCTTTGGGAATTCGAAAATCGAGCCAAACAAGAGTTCATTTTCTCATTCAGTTTACGTATCCCCTAAAGCGGAGTCATGCACTGGTGGCTTGAGTGGATGGAAAGCAAAGGGGTCTTTTGGTCAAGCCGCATCTGTCATGTCAATAAAACACTCCCGTATATCAGAAACTACAAAAGACTGTGTGTTTGATTTAATTCACGACTGACTAGTTTTTCATGTACTTTGAGTTTCTCGTCTCAGGAGAGATCTCCTTATAGTTATAATATATTTTGGCCTTCCAATTGATCCATTGTGCAAATGGAAAGGAGATTTTAACCCTTTAAGAGAGGTTGTCAGTAATTTTCAAGAATCCGGCGACAGAAGCAAAAATTCAACTTTTTTTATTTGCTCCAAAAGACCCTTATTTTGAACTGTTTTCAAAAATGATATTCAAAGTTCCAGCGAGTTTTTATTTTGGCAAAAATACGAAAGTTCGAAATCGGCCAAAACGTACCAAATTTGCATAATTTCTATCTGGCTTTCAGTGCATTTTCACAACACTCGTACAAGACAACGAAAAATTATCTTGGATTCATTTTTTTATAAGTTGTGTTTCATCCCTTGGAGTAGCTTTGTAACTATATTTCATCTCCAATTGAACTTTTTTTCGTTTGTAACCACCCGCATAAAGTACACTATATTCTCTACTCCGTTTGTACGCTGAATTTTGCCATATTTCAGACGACCATAACATCGGGGGTATACGAATGTACATAAAATAAAAGAGCTTCTTTCAACGAACAACTCTTCGTGTTTATCATGTGAATACATTATCCTTGGCCCGAGAAAAGCAAGCACGCCAGACAAAAATATATAGCGTGCATTTTTACGGAGTTCGGCCATTTTCTTGCTGTACTCCTACTGCAAATCATACGCTATTCGGGCAAAACTCGACGTGTTTGGTCTCTACTTCTGTTTTGATTCATTTAAATATATCGATTTTAACTTTAAACTTACCCTACCTTTATTGTTAAGTGAACAAACCTCCGTTTTAGGTAAAGTTTTTAAGTTTATTTTCCTCGAGTGCTAAATAAACAAATCGCTGTTTACAAAGATACCAGCTCTGTCGACGTGTTTTTAGCTGAAATTGGCCTGTCGCTTATATTGTTCTTTAATTTACAATCTATCCCACTGGCATAACTTTGGAGTAAATTACATGTAACTATAAATGTTGTTGTAAATACGTGAGCGTGAGCTAAATAAAATCTTCGCACACATAAAATATTCGAAACATGTAGTTGTCGCAAGAAAATACTGCTTTAAAGGTCTTGATGGACCGCCACGTTGTCCAAACGAAACCAAGTTTTT